TTTGGTACAAGACCCTCAGACGAAATAGATCCTTGGGGTAGTGTAGCTCAGCTTTTTCGCGTCCCCTTTCGGAAGGTTTGAAAGAAAGCCCTATAGTTCGAATTCCCATGGTTTTGAATATACTCTCACAAGTGTAATGTGAAATTGATAAACACCAAAGAGTCCAAATCTGGCAAACCTTTTGGAAAATCGATTTTGGGATCAAAATGCGAAAATTGGACTGCTTTGCCAGATACAGAGTCACCACCTAAATGTTTTATTTTTTTTTGAGAAATTTAGGAAACCCATGACTTGTGCCGAAGGCCACGTGTCCGTCATTACCAAAGTTGCCTCGGCTCGGGAACTTGGGTACGAGAGGGAAAGGTCATGAATTGAGTACCCCAGCTCGCCCGATCAAAGATCGGCCTCTACTAATCATGATATGATTTTTTTATCAACATTATTTGTTCTTGTTCCGGTTATTTAGCTAGCTTTACTATGTGATGCGCACAAGCAAGTATAGACTAATTTGCCCGAATTAGAACAATTCAATTTCATGTTTGTTTTGTGAAAATAGTTTGAATTTGCCACCTCAAGTGGGCTTAAAGTTTGCGAGTTTGCCACCTCAAGTGGGCTTAAAATTGTGAATTTGCCACTAGACAAAGTGGGCTTAAAACATACATTCGTGAATCGTTTCAATTCAAGCAACAAGCTTTCATCCACATGCATTCAAACGATTTATCAAATAAGCATTTAGCCTTATGGTATGGATGCTAGTCATGGCAATCACTCACACTCATACAAGTATGCTAAAGCACCAAAAATTTACCTAGTACTCCAAGCCAAAAGAAAATAAAGTTAGAAAAATGCATGATTCCTAACTATGCTAAATGACCAATGCAACACATGCAATAATGCATGATTCCTACTATTATGGCATATGAATTCAAGACATGTGGTCTAAGCACATATTCATCGAAGTATTGAAACGAAAATGCAATTTGAATGATGCGCCGAGCCTCGGTGCATGCAATACAAAATGAATGGATGTAAGCATAAGATATGCTATTTGAAATATGTCTCCAATCTAACCATCGAAAGCGGATAAATAAAAGGGAGAAAGACGTGGGGTTGGCAGACATACACATTATTACATTTTGCTCTCATGAATGAGAGTCTGAATGAATAAAGCTAACTAACTAATTAAAGCTAAACTAAGCTAATTAAGCTAATTATTACAAATCAAAATGAATAACTAGTTAAACTAATCAACTAATTATTATTACAACACTTGAATGAATTAACCAGTAAGCTAACTAATTAAAAGAAATTAATTAGGCTAAGCTAATTAAATATCACAACACCAAATAATTAGCTATAACTAATTAGACTGTTTAAATATTACGACACAATTCATTATGCTAATGAACTAATTAAATAATCAAACGCATTCGATTATGTGCACCAAGGAAGATAGATGGAAGCTGTATGCACGTCGCTTGAAAGCTACTTTGTCTGCCCAGACCACCTCTGTTTCACCTTTAGCCATTTCCTCTGTTTCTACAAAATTGCATTGCTGGCCATACACCAAGGGCAGGCCGTGCATTACTGATGGCCGGTCGGGCCTACAGAAGGTTGTCATTGATTTGGTGCAAAACTTTGTTTCTGTGCTCTGAGGTGAAATCAGTGCAGATAGAGCATTTTCAACCTCTGTTTGTCCTTTATTCTTTCTTTGTCATAGGAAAACCTCAAGAGAAGGTTAGGATTGACTCCAAAACCATCAATGAGCAATATGATCACTTGATGACCTCGGATATCATTTTGGACCAAAAAAATCAATGAATGAAATGCAAATGGACCACCCCTCCCTTTTTGTCATGGAATGAACTCAAAAAAGGAAGTTAAAACACTTCAAGGACATAAAAAACACTATGAATTGATACTTGATGACCCTTGACACAAGAAATTTGGCATAACGTCCGGCCAAGTTCAAGCTATTAAGCCATTTTCTTTAAGTGTGTTGATCCAAGTTTTAAGCCAATTGTTTAGGTCATTTCCATTCATTAGTCCATTTGTCCAAATGAGATGTTAAAGTCCTCTAAACAACAAGTGATGTCAAACAAGAGGTCCTTCTAAAACATGAGAAGGAGACTATACCATTGACAATGAATCTCCGAAGAGGTTAAGCCATTAAGTGTAGGTCTCCTATACATGCATTAAACAACCTCAATTGGTTGAAACCATTCTCAAGAATGAAAGATATGGAATGATTGATCGATTAGTAAACTCAGGCTCCAAACATGGAAAATGAACAAAGAAATCATATCAAACAAGAAGTATGCCAACTTAATGAGACCACAAGTGTATTAAACAAGGCATGAACCAATTACAAAGACCTAGACAACCTGAAAACAACCCTAAATACATGAAAATCAGAGGTAAAACATGCAAGAAAGGGGCTAAAAAGCTAGACAATGAAGATTAGAATTAAGGCTAGTAAACAAAGATAAGGAGGGGTGGCTAACCCCTTCACTTTTGAAGCTTCAAAACATGGTTTTAGCCTTTCAAAAGCTCTGAAAATCAGTGTAAATACCAAAGGAAAATAGTGAAAAGGAGATGGTTTGAGTTATAAATAAAGGTATAGAAACAACAAGCTCTCTCTACCCTTTTGGTAACTTTTCAAACCCAACTCCAAACACTTCAAACAAGCTCAAATCAATCCAAAACAGTAAGAAGTATGAAGTAAATGATAGAAATGAAGACAAAAGAAGAGAAAACAAGCTTATACTTTTCAAGAAGTAAGCTTGTTGTTGATGTTTCAAACTTAGTTTCAATGTACTCTCAAGCTTGAATTACACTTCTCCAAGATCAACCAAGGCTTTAGGGTGGTAAGACAAGGTTGTATATGGTGTGTATAGGTGGTATAAGCAAGCTAGGTTAGTTCAAAGATACCTTGCAATGGAAGAAGGAGAAGTCAAGAGCTATCAAGGTGTATATATCACTTCTAGAATTTTGTTCAACCCTCAAAACAATTCCAGAGCTTCAGTTTTATAGAATTTGAGCTTAAAAGGTGATAAATATCTTCAAAAATGGATAGCCGGCGGCCTCCCACCCAGAACAATGTTTATCACCATCGAAGGCCGGCCGGCCATTCATAGCCACGGTCGGCCATCACTGATGCACGGCCGGGCCTTGATGGCCTCCCTTATTTTTTGGTTCAAACTTAGCTCAGGGTGAGAAATGGTCCAAAAATGAAACTCATGGGTTCAAACAAGGTAAACGGTGAAGATGTGAGGTTGTTTCGGAATCCTAATTGATTTTGAATCGTTGCAAATTCACAATTCAACTTTCATCATCGAGTACATTGAACCAAGCGTATGAGTCTTATAGGCGGTCAAAAATAGGGTGTCTACAGATAAGCCATAGGCATGGACGTCTATTCGAGTTTCTTCATCGTCGCATTCCATCTACATTATCCACTGTTGCTTCTGTTTCCTTTTCCGCTGCTTCTACTTCTATATCTTCTTTTCATCTTTGGCATTGTCGTTTAGGACATGTCTCTTTTAGTCATTTAAAAACTTTGGTTTCTAGTGGTCGGTTAGATTGTGTTGGTTTTGAAAATGTTGATTGTTTACCTTGTCAAATTGCTAAACAGCCTTCATTACCTTTTAATAAAAGTAATTTTGTTTTTCTTGCCCCTTTTGCTCTTGTGCATTCAGATATTTGGGGACCCTCCCCCACCCTGACCATGGGGGGTCTAGATATTTTGTGATTTTTATTGATGATTTTTCTTGTTATACTTGGATATTTCTTCTCAAAAATCGCTCTGAACTTAAACAAATTTATTATGATTTCTTTGCCATGGTCCATACTTAATTTTCTCAAACTATTAAAATATTTTGTTTTGATAACCCTATGGAATACTTGGATTCGGATTTTCTTTCCTTTCTTCAGGCACATGGTACCCAATCTCATTGTTCTTGTGCAGGCACATCCTAACAAAATGGTCGCACTGAAAGAAAGCATCGTCATATTCTAGACACCACTCGAGCCCTTCTCATCTCCTCTTCATGTCCTGAAAAGTTTTGGGGGGAAGCTGCTCTCACTACTATGTACACCATAAATTATGTGCCTACTCTTCTCATAGCCAATCTCTCTCCTTATGAACGTCTATATGGTTCTCCTCCTACATACACCACTCTTAAAGTTTTTGACTCTACTTGTTTTGTTCTCCTTCAACCTCATGAACACGCTAAACTAGAACCTCGTTCTCGTCTTTGCTGTTTTCTAGGGTATGGTATAAAACATAAAGGGTATCATTGTTGGGATCTAATCCCCAAGCGTCTTCGTATTTCTCGTCATGTGATTTTCTGGGAACACAAAATGTTCTCTACTTTATTTAAGTTTTATTTACCACAATCCACCCATTCCCTGTTTTTTACTGATCTTTCTATAGGCTTGTTGTTACCTGAATTTGATGCAGATTTCGGTCCACTGCCTTCACAACTGCCTATGCCTACCATCAATCATAAGGTTTATGTATCTAACAATGGTCCTATGCCTCCTCCATCATCTCACATGGTGCTTTCTCCCTCCCCGTCACCATCTCCTCTAGCAGATCGTCATTCCACTCGGGTAAAACAACCTTCTGTTCTTCTCCGTGATTATATTGCTGGTTCCACTATTTTTCCACTCATGAACCTACTTCCTATTGTGAGGCTTGTTCTAACCTTCTTTGGCAGCAAGCTATGACTAATGAACTGCAGGCTTTGGATAAAACTCATACCTGGGATGTGGTTGATCTTCCTCCTGGCAAGACTACTGTTAGTTATAAATGGGTTTATAAGATCAAAACTCATTATGATGGTTCCATTGAACGTTACAAAGCTCGTCTTGTTGCCTGGGGATTCACTTAAGAGTATGGGATTGACTGTGAGGAAACATTTGCTCATGTTGCTCGTCTTACTTCAGTTCATAGCTTATTAACAGTTGCTGCTGCTCGCCACTAGAGTCTTTCTTAGATGGATGTCAAAAACGCCTTTCTCAATGGTGATCTCACTGAGGAAGTTTATATGCAACCTCTACTTGGTTCCTCTGTTCCTTTCATCAAAGTTTGCAAACTTCGCCGTGCTTTGTATGGTTTGAAACAAGCTCCTCGTGCCTAGTTTGCCAAGTTCAGTTGTACCATTCATGACTTTGGCTTCTCCTCCAGTGCTTATAATTCTGGCTTGTTTATACGTCAGACAAAGCATGGCACTATTGTTCTTCTTCTCTATGTGGATGATATGATCATTACTGGCATTGACACAATGGGTATCTTTAGTCTCTATCAATCACCAGTTTGAGAAGAAAGATTTGGGTTTGTTTAGCTATTTCCTCGGATTGGAAATTTCTCATGATCCTTCTGGTTACTTTTTAACACAAGCCAAGTATATCTATAATCTCTTGGCTCGTGTTGGTCTTACCAATTGCAAGGCTGCTACTACTCCAGTTGATCCTCAGACTCATCTCACACCTCTTGATGGTCACCTATTATTTGATGCTACTTTATATCGTCAGCTAGTTGGCAGTCTTGTCTATCTCACGGTTACTCATCCCGACATTGCCTATGTTGTTCACATTGTCAATCAGTTCATGGTTGCTTCTCGCTTTCTGCACTATGATGCTCTAGATTACATTTTGCACTATCTAAAAGGCACTATGTTCCATGGCCTTCACTACTCAGCACACTCTTCTCTACAGCTACATGCATTTTCTGATGCCGATTGGGCCGGGGATCCTACTGACCACCGCTCTACTATAGGGTTCTGCTTTTTCTTAGGTGATTTTCTCATTACCTGGCGTAGCAAGAAGCAAACTATTGTTGCTCGTTCTAGTATTGATGCTGAGTATCGTGCTCTTGCGGATACTACTCAAGAGCTTGTGTGGCTTCGTTGGCTTTTGACTGATATGAGAATTCTCCATCCTGCTGCCACTACCCTTTATTGTGACAATCAGAGTGCTATTCAGATTGCACATAATGATGTCTTCCATGATCGCACCAAGCATATTAAGATTGATTGCCACTTTATCCGGCAACACATTACTAGTGGCACTGTTCGTCTTATCTTTGTTAACTCTGCCGGTCAGACTGCAGACATCTTCACCAAGGCTCATCCTTCAGGATGATTTTCTGATTTACTTTTCAAGCTCAACTTGATATCTGCTTTACCACCTTGAGCTTGAAGGGGGGTGTTACTATAGTATATCTAGTTTATTAAGATATATTAGGATATTATTTGTACCTATCTGTTATAGTATATTCTCTGTGTACACTTATCTACTCTCCTATATAAAGGAGTGTGTACCTATTCATTAACATAGATGGAATACAAAGAGTTCTCTTTTCTCTTCTCTATCTACTCTCATAACAGCAGCATTTATAGAGTTGAGGGAGGTAGATGGTTCCCATCTTATGGACCTTCTGTTTTTTCAAGGATTTGGAGTGGTATTATTTCTATTGCTTTTTCCAATCCTTAGAGTTGGTTTTGTTGATCACATTAGATGAGTTGTCTCATCCTTAGGTCAGTTTATGGTGTATTCAGTCTTTATAGTCTGAGTCTGCCCTTGGGCTGAATGTCTCTTGTCCTGGGATGTTGTTGCATAATGTCACTCCTCATAAAGCTCAATTTTTTTGCTTGATTAGAATGTAAAGGAAGAATTAAGAGTTTTTGTAAAGAATTGGCGTGCTGAATTTGAATGCTAACACTGCTTATGTGTTTAGTAATTCTGATGCTGAAACTCTAAATCATATTATACTATTTTGCCCTTTTGGTTGGAAAATTTGGTCTTAAATGAGGAGTTGGTGGGGGGTTTCAATGGGTAATACTAGGGTCAGTGGAAGGCTTACTACAATGGTAGTTAAGGTTTAAGTTTAGAAATTTTGAATTGTAGGTTTGGAAAATTATTCTGTTCGGTACTTTGGTCTACTTGGAAGCATAGAAATGATTGCATCTTTAATAGCCATCAACCGAGTCCGGGTAAACTGTGTGAGCTTGTAAAACTAAGAGTAGCTTTATTGGTAAAGCTTCATTCATCTGATATGTTCTTCTTCGTGAATGATTTAATATCAAATTTAGAGCAGGTTACATTTTGTTTTAACAGTGGTAGGTGATGTTCGAGGGTTTATGTCTTATGATGTGATCAGTTGCTGGTGTTTTTGGCCTAAATTGGTAGCAGTGCAGTTTTTTTTCTTTTTCTTTTTCTTTTTTTGGTGTGTGTGTGTGTGTGTTGTTGGAACAATCTTCTGTGTAAATAAAATAAATTGAAACTAATTCAAACAAAACAAAATAAAAACTTACAGAATTATTTTGTCAAACCGAATGGAAAAACAAAAAACCAAGTCGAGTGTGTGACACTCTGTCCTCAAGATAGATTCACCTCGCTACGGTGCTTATGGTTGAGTGGCGTCTATCTCCCAAGATACAATGATTTTCACAAATTTGTAGTAGCACTCCAAACAAATTTATCCGGCGAACTAGAACCTTGTGTTTTATAACTCTCTGAATTTTTCTCTAAATGACTAATATGAAGAATAATGTAAACAAATAAAATCTGGACAGCAAGAACAAAGTTTTTCTGATTGATTTTCGGATACCAACACTGCTGGAAGTGTCAAGTATTTATAGGCACAAAATGCTGTCCGAATAGGTATGAAAACAACCTGAATAGGTGCATTTTCAAACTGTAATCGTATAGTTTGAATTTTAAGCAGCTCTGGCACTGTTTCAACAGATAACTACTAGACAGTTTGAAACCTGTCCAGATTTGAACCTGTAACTGCCTGGGTAGTTTTGAAATGAATCTGTCCAAAATAACAGATTGAAAAACTGATTAACCTTAGTTTTGAATCAGTTCAAACTACCTAACAGATATGCAACTGTTATGAACAGATGTAGTTCAAAAACCCGGACAGATTTGAATCTGTCCAGGTTCAAAATCTGTCCAGGTTCAAACAGCTTTGAAATGTATGGACTGTTTAATCTGTTAGGAATAAAATGGACTGGAGGAGGAAAATTTAAATTCAAATTTGACTTAAATTCCCACAATAATTTTTGTCCAAAAAATTAATACAAGAACCGACCTGATCTATAACCTACACCCGTGCTCGGCACGGCACGGTACGGCTTGGCTCAGTCGGACAGACGGCGGCGGCGCGTGCACGCATGTATAGTGGTTTGGCCTAAGGTTCACTTTGTCCATAACTCCCCCCTTCTATAAACTTGAGGTGCCCCTTGGGGCCCAACCCAAGTGTTGTAGTCTAGAGCTTATATACACAAAAAAGCTCTCTTAAAGTTTCAATGTGGAATAACCCATTAAAAGGAAACCCATATTTAAATCTTTAAATGTCCATTCCTCGAACCCGAAAATGACGTCAACTTTCCATTCACTCATAAATGGTTTAGACGAACCGTCTTCACCGTGTGACTTGCCACACAGTAAGGAACATGTCACCTTTTCGAACCCGCCCCAAAAGACGTTTGGGGCCCACTTAATTTTGGGCTCAAGTTGGCCCAAAATAAGCCTAATAAAACCAATTTTCCAACAATCTCCCACATGAATGGAATTTGACGGAGAGAAAATGTAACAACATGATCTAATTACAGAGAGTACAGAAATTGGAAATATTCTTCAAAAGATAGGTAGCTTTTGGCTTTGAACCTTCCCTTGTGAGACACTATCGGATTTACTAGCTAACCCGTGAACATGATGACTTGAATTGTTCAGCCGTTTGTGTAAACCAAGACAATAGAACTCACACAGTATATCCCCAAACACAGTTTAGTTCTCACTATTGTATTCATTTTGGCCTTGAACAATCTGGTCTTTCATGAGTGCACTAGAGAATTGTAGCCCTTCACAAATCTCACAGAACTAGCCCAGTTCACACTCACATAGGTGATTCTTATGAAGAGTATCTTGCCATACTCCACAAGGTTTACCTAGATATAAGAATCATTAAAAGTATTACTTAACCTAAAACGCTGCAGACATCACTATTTCATCATAGAAATGGGTAGGAGTTAGACTCCCCAGTGATCCTTCTAAGTCATACACAACCCGGTTGTCCCTTTGAACCTAGATCTTGGGATCTCCAGTCAACTAGGTTGGGTTACTGTTGTGGTAACTCTTATTTAATAGGCTTAAGTCCCATTCCCCTCGATGAATTCCCAACTAACTCTCTTGCTAACACTTTGGTTAGTGGATCTGCTATGTTGTCTTTAGACTTCACATATTCAATGGAAATAATTCCATTAGAGAGTAGTTGTCTTACGGTGTTATGTCGACGACGTATGTGTCGTGACTTACCGTTATACATATGACTTTGTGCTCTACCTATTGCTGATTGACTATCACAATGTATGCAAATAGCAGGCACCGGTTTTGGCCATATTGGAATATCTTCAAGGAAGTGGCGAAGCCATTCTGCTTCTTTCCCAGCTTTGTCTAAAGCTATGAATTCTGATTCCATAGTAGACCTAGTAATGCAAGTCTGTTTAGAAGATTTCCAAGATACAGCCGCCCACCAAGAGTAAAGACATACCCACTGGTGGACTTTGAGTCTCTAGTATCTGATATCCAATTTGCATCACAGTATCCTTCAAGTACTACTGGATATCTAGTATAATTCAGCCCAATATTATTAGTAAATCAGAGATACCTTAGGATCCTTATAATTGCTTTCCAGTGTTCTACTCCCAGATAACTCGTATATCTACTTAATTTACTTACTACATAAGCTATATCTGAGCGAATGCAGTTCATAAAGTACATTAAGCTCCCAATAATTTGGGCATACTCTAATTGAGAAATACTTTTTTATACATTCTTAGATAGAAACAAATTAACATCTACAGGTATTCTAACAAGATGACCATCGTCTTTGCTGAATTTGTCAAGTATTTTCTCAATGTAATGAGATTGTGACAAAGCATATCCTTCTGATGTTTTGGTAGTTTTCATACCAAGAATTACATCAGCAATGCCCATGTCCTTCATGTCAAAATGTTTATTCAACATTTTCTTGGTTGTTTTAATCATATCATTATTACTACTTATGATGAGCATATCATCTACATAAAGACATACAATGACATAACCTTTGTCTATGTTTTTACTACAAACACATTTGTCACACTCATTAATTTTAAATCCATTTGACATCATTGCCTTGTGAAATTTCTCATGCTATTGCTTTCGCACCTGTTTCAAACCATATAATGATTTAACCAATTTACACACTTTCTTTTCTTTTCCTGGAACAGAAAAACCTTCTGGTTGTTCCATGTAAATTTCTTCATCTAACTCACCATTTAAGAAAGCGGTTTTCATATCCATTTGATGAATTTCTAAATTGTATAAAGACGCAATAGCAATTAGCATTCTAATGGATGTTATTCTAGTAACTGGTGAGTATGTTTCAAAGTAATCAAGACCTTCTTTTTGTCTAAACCCTTTGACCACAAGTCTTGCCTTGTATTTGTCAATTGATCTATCCGCTTTTATTTTTATTTTGAAAATCCACTTGTACCCAAGAGGTTTACAACATGGTGGCAAATCTACCAATTCCCAAGTGTGATTTTGTAAGATGGATTCAACTTCACTATTGACAGGTTCTCTCCATAAAGGAGCTTCGGGACTAGACATAGCCTCTTTAGCCAAACATCGCCACACTTTTAAGTATTTGTAGGATGGTACTCTTCCATGCCATAACTCATAAGGTGTTTGATTCACTTTCTTTCGAGATACTTTATTTAAAATATAATTAGCAGAAAGTATTGCTTTCCCCCACAAGTTCTGAGGTAATCCAGAACTTATTGACATGATATTCATCATTTCTTTTAAAGTTTTATTTTTCCTTTCAGCAATTCCATTTTGCTGAGGTGAGTAAAGAGCGGTGGTTTGATGAATTATTCCATGTTCTTTACAAAATTCACCAAAAGGTGATTCATATTCACCACCTCTATCACTTCTAAGTTTCTTGATTTTCTTACCAAGTTGATTTTCAACCTCATTCTTATATTGAATGAAAGTTTTCAAAGTTTCATCCTTGGTTTGAATTAAATAAACATAACTATATCTAGTATAGTCATCTATAAAAGTGATAAATCACTTTTTCCCACCTCTTGTTTGAATTGATTTAAAATCATAAATGTCATTATGAATTAATTCAAGTGCTTCTGTACTTCTTTCAATTGAATGAAAAAGAGTTTTAGATAATTTTGCCTCAATGCAAATTTCACATTTATGATTTGAATCACTGTCAAATTTAGGTAAACATTCCATATTAATTAATCTACGTAAAGATCCATAATTAACATGTCATAGTCTACCATGCCATAAATTTGAAGACTCAAGCAAGTAAGAAGAAGATGCATTTTTATTAATAACTGGGGGTACAACGGTCATTACATTCATCTTAAAAAGGCCATCAGACATGTAACATTTTCCTACATACATCCCATTCTTACTAAGTACAAATTTATCACTCTCAAATATTAGCCTAAACCTATTCTTACTTAACAAAGATTCGGAAACAAGATTCTTACGAATGTCCGGTACATGCAACATATTGTTGAGAGTGAGTTCCTTTCCAGATGTCATCTTCAGAACAATCTTCCCTTGTCCTTTAACTTTGGAAGTTGAGGAGTTGCCCATAAAAAGTTGTTCACCATTGTCCACTGTTGAATAAGATGTGAACATCTTTTTGTCGGCACAGATATGGCGAGTAGCACCAGTGTCCACCTACCATTCTTTATGATTTCTGACAAGATTTGCCTCGGAAACAATTGCAGAAAGATTGATGTCATCTACACCATTGGAAATATTGTCCACTTTGGTCATATGGGCTTGATCAGGCTTCTTGCTTGTTCTTCTTTTGTTTTTACCTTTGCTACGACAATCTTTGGCCCGATGTTCCTCTTTGTCACAGATGTAACATTTGCCATTAAATTTGTATTTTTTATTTCCTCCCCCTTTAGAGCTCTGTGATGAACTTTCT